AAATGTGTTTTAATTTTGAAAAATCATTTCTTTATTGTAAATTGCTGAATTTTGATGTGCACACTCATGTTATGTTGTACAATGTAGCATAAAATTCCAGAATTTATATTGTTCATTATGATAGGTTTTTAATGGAAATGAGGTTTCTGCTGAATCTTTCAAAAATTATCATAAATTGTGTGTTCAGGACATTTAGCTGCATTTTCGATATGTTATACTCCATGAGCTGAAGTTCAATATGTTCAATTTGCATGATCAAATTCACTCTGTAGACCAGCCTTTTAATCAAAATTTATTTTGGGTGGAATTTTGTTTTAATTTTGTAAAATTGGGTGTTTTGGGTTTAGGGCTGAAACTTGGTGAAAATATGTGATATTATGTGCTCTGTTATGTGGTATTTTTAGCTTAATATCCAGAGCCAAACACCTAAACCATTAGCAGGTTCGTTTTGTAACCTTTGTAGTCGTTTTTTCGAACTGTTTGAATTCCTGTCATCCCAATAAATGTTTTGCATGTTATATGGGATCTATTTGGGGTTAATTGTGATGTTTTGAGTCTGCTAGTCAACTCCAAGTACTTAATTCTGTTAAGGAATCCTTGAGTGACTTAGTCGATATGAATTTGGTTGAGTATGTGTTGCTTCGTGTGTTGTTTTGTGTTGGATAGTCTGTTGATAGGACTATCGTAATTGTTGTAGGTTCGTCGAGCTGAAATTTTGCCGTAATTCCTTCATCTACCCGTTTTTGGCTTTATTCTGGTATCCAGGTGGGTTTACTTATAAATTTGCTATGCCATAATTGCGGTAAGGTTTCTAGACTACGTGTTCTATGAATGTATGTGAGTCATGAGACGGTTCCTAGTTGTAGGCGATCTTCAACCATATGACAGGTAGACTCATTTTAGCCTAGTCGATGGGCCGTGACCGTTGATGTTGAACCTCAGCACGATTGTATTCCGGCTGACGAGTTTGGGCTTACCCTGGCGGCTTATGATAGGTGTGCACATGAGTATAGTGATGAGTAGGAGTGTGGTGTGTTATGTCGTTTGACCATGTACATGCATATGAACTAATATATGTATCATATCAATATTATATGCATAGTGGTGAGCACCTCGGTTTCATTTGTGCTCACTCCCACCTGCTCTTCATGGATGCATGTTAATTAGGTGATGGGCGTGACGAGAATAAAGACGAGTGGATGGTCAACTTTATTATTGCTTTTTATTACTTCCGCATTCTTTGATATTTATGTTGAGATTATTAGACATTGTTGAACCATGAGATTGTTATTTTCACTATGCGTTTTGGGAATGGTTGAACTGCTTGAACCATGTGGGTTATTTTTCAGCTTCGGATTATGTTGACAATCCTATTTGACTCAATATGTTGAAATCTAGTCTTGGAACTTGAATTGTGTTGGTTATTCTCGTTCCTTTTTGTTGATTATGTGTGAGATGTTTATTGAGTAGCGGCAAACGTTTAATAAATCGATAAATGGTTTTCCGAAATTTTAAAATTGGATCATTGGATAAGTCCAGAATTGTCTTTAAAAATATTTGGGGCATTACAGTTTGGTATCAGAGCCAGCCTGCGTTTCTGTAGACTGGTCTATGTGTGAATTACTTGATTAAGTGATTATGTGAATTGACCTTTTGGTTTGACCACTCGACTTCTTCATGTCGCACTGCTTAAGGTATGTCCTTTTATAAGTATCAAGGAAAATACTTGTAATGTAAATTGTGACTCTACTACTTGAGATATGATTTGTTGATATTTATGGCTTAGGATCTATCAACCTTTGAATAAATCGAACTCTAGTGTTTACGTTGAACCCTAGATCTTTTTATAACTGTGCTAAACTTTTCGGCCCATTTTCAATGTAGAACAATGGCTCACCAATCCCGCAACAACCAGCAACCGCCTCCCCCGTCTCCACCTCCTCCTCAGCAGCACGCCCCGGGTAGGGATCCCATTGCCCAGTCTGTGCTCGATTTCCGTAACATGCACCCTCCGACGTTCACCGGGGTTGAGGGCCCCCAAGCTATAGTCGAATGTCTTCAGTAGTTGGAGCATATTTTTGACCTGATTTTCACCACCGATGAGGTGAAGATCCGATGTGCCACGTTCCAAATGACCGGAGATGCTCAAGCATAGTGGTCCGACTACTGGAGGCTACGTCCTCGTGCTGAGAGAGATGCTCTGACTGGGATCAGATGGTCGCCATAGTCAAGGACAAGTATTATCTGGAGGCTTACCGTGCCCAGATGATGCGGGAATTCTGGGAGCTTCGACAGAGACCCCGTTCCGTGGATGTCTACGAGCGTGATTTCACATGTATGAGTGCGTTAACCCCGATGCTCATAGATACCGATAAGAAGAAGGCCCTTCGCTTCCGAGATAGTCTTCGCCACGATATTTGCTATACCCTGACTGGCCACAGAGTTCTGCCCTACTCCGAGATGGTCTACCGAGCCACTAAGTTAGAGGTCTGTCAGAATGCTCAGAAGGCAGTTGCCCCATCTCATCAACCGACCCAGATGGTTCCGCAAGTTTCAGCTGTTGCGCCCGCTTCTTATTCGGGCAAGAGGAAGTCTGATTTCCAGAACAAGAAGAAAAGAAAGAAAGGAAACTTCGGGAGGCGTGACGACCGACCCCCTCAGGAATAGCCCCCGAGGTGTCTTAACTGCGGCAAGTTCCATGGACCGGGAGAGTGTCGAGCAGCCGACAAACACTGTTTCAACTGCCACCGGCCCGGACACTTTTAACAGGTTTGCCCCGAGCCGAAGAGGCAACCGCAGCAGCCGCCCTACCCTCAACAGCAGCAGCTTCCCCCACCGCCTACTCATCAGCAGCAGCCTAGGCAGCCCTCACCATACCAGCAGTGGGCAGGAGGCCAGACCCGTTTCTACACCATCACCGATCATGAGGCAGCGAACAATGCAGGTACCATGTTTGGAATGCTCTCTATATCCAATGTACCTGTATATGCCTTGTGTGATACCGGAACCACCCACTCTTTCATTTCTTCCCGATGTCTTGAGGCTCTATCTGTTAGTAATGTGTGCTAGGTTGATCCCCTCGAGGTTAGTCTAGCCTCGGGAAAAATTATTATCTCTGATTCTTTATTCCGTGGTCTTAATATCAATATCAGTGGGCGTGTTTTGGAGGCCGACACTTATGTTATTGAAATGCGAGACTTCAACGTGATCTTAGGCACAGACTGGCTCACTCGTTATCGAGCCGACATCCAGTTTTAGGATCATGAGGTCACTTTATTTCCCGATTCTGATTAGCCCGTTGAGTTCTATGGGGTGAAGTCGAGGACTGTGCCTCGAGTCATATCTTCTATTCAAGCTAGGAAGAGCCTTTCTAAGGGTAGCTACCAAGGCTATCTTGTGAGTATGGTGTCCGATGATGATGTTGGGCAAACTTCAGAGAGAGTCTCCATAGTTTGCTAGTATCTTGACGTTTTACCTGATGAATTGCCCGGAGAACCCCCCGATTGTCAGGTCGAGTTCACAATTGACTTGGTACCAGGAGTCGGTCCCATCTCAAAAGCCCCTTACCGTATTGCGCCGAAGGAGCTTCAAGAGCTCAAGGCCCAAATCCAAGAATTGCTCAAGCTCGGTTTCATTATGCCGAGTGTTTCTCCGTGGGGAGCGCCCGTCCTATTCGTGAAGAAGAAGAATGGATCCATGCGCATGTGCATCGACTACCGTGAGCTTAATCACCTTACGGTTAAGAACAAGTATCCTCTTCCTCGCATTGAGGATCTCTTCGACCAGCTAAGGGGAGCCAGTGTCTTTTCAAAGATCGACTTGAGGTCTGGCTATCATCAGTTGAAGATCCAAGAGTCGGATATCTCTAAGACTGCGTTCCGTACCAGATATGGTAACTATGAGTTTATGGTGATTCAGTTCAGACTTAGCAATGCCCCGACGGTGTTTATGGACCTTATGAATAGGGTCTTTCATCCTTATCTCGACCAGTTTGTGATCGTGTTTATTGATGACATTCTGGTGTATTCACCAGACATCGACCAGCACAATGAACATCTGAGGATTGTGTTGGAGACCCTTCGCCACGAGAAGCTTTATGCTAAGTTCTCGAAGTGCGAGTTCTGGCTGTATCGTGTGGCATTCCTTGGCCACATTGTGACGGCTAGAGGCATTGAGGTGGATCCCGGCAAGATCGAGGTAGTGAGCAAGTGGGATACACTAAGAAGTGCCAGTTATGTTTGTAGTTTCCTGGGGTTAGCAGGATACTACCGGAGGTTTATCGAGAGCTTCTCGAAGATAGCCCAACCACTAACCAACCTTATGAAGAAGGTCGTTGTAACACCCCGTTTTATTTTAAAAAAATTATCTAATTTATTTATAAAAATCAGAGTTAATTTTTTTCGCAAAATCTCAATTTAAAACATTGATTATCAATGGGCGCTACTTAACTACCAACAACAATTCGAACAAGGATAATGAACCAACACATGTATAACTAAAAGTTATAAAAATCAAATCGACTTATTCAATTATTCCAAAACCATCCAGAGAGTTTAACATGAATCAATGGTTCATCCAAACATAATCATGGTACTCAAAGCGGAAGCATAAATATTCCAAAATAAAACAAGTAGTTCAACATAGATAATAATAGGCGGAAGCAAAAGACACATCAACTAATGACCACCACTCGATCTTCTTGACGCCGACACCGCCAGCCATGTTCAACCTAAAGATACGAAGTGGAGACAAAGAGGAAAACAATGGGGGTAAGCAAAACTATCATGCTCACCATTACCGTACAGTATATCTCGCATAAAGATTCAAAACCATAAATAAAGTATGCATAGAATCCAAGCTCTAACTCCCTACACGACCCTATCGCAAATCTCCTATGTACATACAAAAACCTTCCGATCAGACATCGAAAAGGATTAACCGGAAACCTTCCTGATATGGGATATTATATACACAAGGCTAAACCGGTCTGCCCAGCCGGTCGAGAAGATCAAATTGAGAGGAAAGTTAAGCTAAAAGACGGGAGGATCGATCATTTAGATAATCGACCGGGCAGATAGTCGACCAAATCCATCGCTCGATTAGATAAGTGATTAAGCAACCTCTTCGACCTCATCAGGTCGATTGCTTCGAGGACTTAACAGTCGGCCTAGTCACAGGCGCGTGTAGGAACCTCTAACCGAATCTCAGGAGAATATTTACCCATTTGTGCAGGGGGACACGTGTCGAGAATACATTGGTGGATATCGATAACCACCTCTGACAGCTCCCAACGCCCCCGCGCCACCTCTGAAATGTGCGCGGCGTGTCAGAGTACGGACAGGCAGCTTGGGCAGCCAACTCATCCTTATCCGTGCAGCTATTAGGGCAGGTATCTCACCCCTATATAAGGGGGGTGAGCCTTTCTCCCTTAAGACATTCTATTCATTCTTCACTTCAGTATACTCATACACATACTGACTTAAGCATCGAAGGCTCTTCACCGGACACAACCCTCAGTGTGAGAGTTACTTGCAGGTTTCCGGCGTTCTACCGGCGAGGCCAAAGATCGATCCACTCCAAAGCGGACCAGGACGCTCACACTTGCATTATTGGCGTCGTCTGTGGGGACTTTCGTTAAAAAGTTGTGTTTGAAGCTCAGCTATGGCGGACTAAATTCCCAAAAACTTGCAATCAACATTCGACGAGACTTGGACGACGACCAGGCCAATGGGGCAAGGCTCTTCTCTAGGTTTTTCCGGCCCATGGCAGACACCGATCACTCCCACACCTATCCTTTAAGGTGTGGGAGTGACGACGGCGATTCCCGGAGGAGATGTCGGCTCCAGTCAGGCCCAAGAGGCTCGCGCAGCAGCCGCAGCGGCGATGCCACCGCCACCGCCACCAAATCCAACACTGGTGCAAGGAGGAGCGATGGCGCAAGGAGGAGCGTCACCACAGGCAGCTGTACCAGTTCCCGGCCAGCAAATGGTGACGATGACCCGGGAGGAGATGCAGAGGATAGCGGTGGCCGCGGCGGCACAGGCGGTACAACAGGTTACGAGCCACACATCTCATGCCACCATTGCGCCGACCACGGTGGCCGGGAACCAAGATGAGGATGTGTCCAGTTATGGAGAGGGAGGATTTGGAAGAGATCAGGTGATGGAGAGGATGGCGGAGCAGTTGCGCCAGTTGTAGGACAAGGTGGAGGGGAGGCCAGAGAGGAGAGCTCGAGGACATCCCTTTTCGAGGGAGATTCTCGCTGCTCCTTTGCCGAATAATTTCAAGGAGACCAACTTGGTGTATGACGGGTCTTCTGACCCGTCGAGGCATGTGAGGACCTTTGAAAATATGGCTGTGTTACATGGATATTCTGATTCTGTTTGTTGCAGGGCGTTCTTATCGCCCTTGCGCGGAGGAGCCCTTGACTGGTTTCACCAGTTGCCCTCTAGGTCGATTGCGGATTTTGAGGATTTTGCCAGCAAGCTTACCAATCAATATTCGAGCGCGGTGGCGCAAGAGAAAACATATTTTACATTGATGGCAATGAGGCAGGGGGAGAAGGAGTCATTGAGGAAGTACGTCTCTCGATACAACCAGACGTGTTTGGAAGTGCATTCGACTTCAGATGAGGTGAAGGCGGGAGGATTGATAAGGAGTCTTTGAGCAGGGCCTTGCCGAACTTCCCTTGCAAAGACCCCTGCTCGATCATATGAGGAGGTCTTGAAGCGGCGCAGGAAGTATATTAATTTAGAAGAAATGGAGGTAGAATTCGCGAAGTTGGAAGGGCCGGCTCGACCAGAGCCAAAGAAGGAGCAAAGCCCACCAAGAGGGAGGTCGCCGAGGAGGTGTTCGCCCAAGAGAAGTGGGTCGAAAACGATATCACCCATGAGGGAAGCTCGAGATTCGAAGCGAGAGAAGAGGGATGACAGGTGGAAGGGAAAGCCGTTGTTGTTCGAAAGACAGAGGTATCATAATTTTACACCCTTGAGGAAGGATTTGACGGAGGTGCTCGAGGCTATGGAGCAGAAGATGTCGACCGAGGATGTGACGTGGCTGAAGACAAGGTTCACAGGCCCGACTCGGCCCAGATCGGATATATATTGTCAATTTCATCGAGATTACGGCCATACCACGGAGAACTGCAGACATTTGAAGGATGAGATTGAAAGGTTGATTCGAGCAGGACATTTGAAGGAGTTCGTGTATCATGATAGGGCGAAAGGGAAAGGAAGGAGAAGGTGTCGGGATGATTCAGAGAAGAGAAGTGACAGGGACAAGGAAGGAGACGATGGAGATGGTCGAGATGGTCGAGGAAAGAAGCCTAGGAGAGATGGTGATAAAGGAGGGCACGGAGGAGAAGCCCTGATGAAGAGAGGGACAATTTACATGATTTCCGGAGGTCCAATGGATGGCGACTCGAATAGGGCCAGGAAGGAGCATGCTCGAGCTGTGAAGAGGAAGAGAGAGGAGGTGGGGATTACG